GGCTGTCCTAGTGTCCCCATGTCCCTGTATCCCGGTGTCCCCATGTCCGGCTGCCCCAGTGTCCCCAGATCCTGGTGTCCCAGTGTCCCCTTGTCCCTGTGTCCCGGTGTCCCGGTGTCCCCACCTCCTGGCCTGCCGGTGTCCCACTCCCCGCATGTCCCCCTGTCGCGGTGTCCCCAGTGCCCGGTGTCCCCTTGTCCTGCCTCCCAGTGTCCCCGTGTCCCCTGCCCCTTGTTCCCCGCTTGTCGCCTTCCCCGGTGGTGGAGCCCCCCCTTGTCGCTGTCCCCGTGTCCGTGTCCCCGTGCCCCCTGTGTCCCGGCCGTGTCCGTGTCCCCGTGTCCGTGTCCCCGTGGGGTGTCCCCGTGCCCGCCCCCCGTGTCCCCCGCCCCCCCGCGGGGGTGTCCCCGTGCCGGGAGTGGCCGCTCTATATTTGTCGCGTTGTCCCCAGAATAGCGGCAGACGCGGGGGAGGGGGGGCCGCCCCCCGCCCCGCCCCCCGCCCCCCCGGGCTATTTTTAGCCCCCGCGTGTTTCCAGGGGAACCCTGATGACGCAGTGACGTCAATGCGGGTCAATCGCCGCCGCCGGGGCGAGCGCGGCCGCCACGGGGCCCCCCCGCACCCCGGGACCCCCGGGACCCCCCCGGGACCGTCCCGGGGGGCACCGGGGGTCCCTCGGCTCCGGCTGCCACCGGGGGGGTCACACCGAACCCCCCGGGGGGTCACACCGCCCTCCCCCCCAAGCGGACCCCGAAGCGCCCCCGGGGATCTGGAAAGGTCCGTGCCACTCAGGCCACTGTCACCGCCGCTGTCACCGCCGCTGTCACCGCCGCTGTCACCGCCGCTGTCCCCTTGCGGCCGCCCGCGGGTGCCGGCACCGCTCCGGGACCCTCTGCGCCCCCCCGACCCCCCTGAGTCCCTCCCGAGCTCTGGGGGACCCCCGGGTGAGGGGGAGCCACCCCCACGCCCCCCCAACCAAGGGATGTCCCCTCTGTCCCCTTCATCCCCCAGCTGGGGCTCCCCCGGGGTCGGGGGGTGACAGGGGACTGTGGCCTTGGCCGTGTCGTCCCGGGGGGCACCGGGGGTCCCTCGGCTCCGGCTGCCACCGGGGGGGTCACACCGAACCCCCCGGGGGGTCACACCGCCCTCCCCCCCAAGCGGACCCCGAAGCGCCCCCGGGGATCTGGAAAGGTCCGTGCCACTCAGGCCACTGTCACCGCCGCTGTCACCGCCGCTGTCACCGCCGCTGTCACCGCCGCTGTCCCCTTGCGGCCGCCCGCGGGTGCCGGCACCGCTCCGGGACCCTCTGCGCCCCCCCGACCCCCCTGAGTCCCTCCCGAGCTCTGGGGGACCCCCGGGTGAGGGGGAGCCGCCCCCCCGGCACCGCCACCAAGGGATGTCCCCTCTGTCCCCTTCATCCCCCAGCTGGGGCTCCCCCGGGGTCGGGGGGTGACAGGGGACTGTGGCCTTGGCCGTGTCGGCTCCCCCGGGGTCGGGGGGTGACAGGGATGTCCCCCGGGGTCGGGGGGTGACAGGGGACGGTGGCCTTGGCCGTGTCCCCCCCGGCCCGTCCTGCTCTGGCCGGAGCTGGCCCGGGGACGCGGGGATGGGGGTGGCAGGCAGCAAAGTGTCACCGTCCCTGTCACCGGCGTGCTGGGGCTGCAGGGTGGGGACAGGGGTGGCAGTGGGGACACGGATGAGGACATGGGACATGGATGGGGACAGGGACATGGGGTGGGAATGAGGATGTGGGGTGGGCACAGGGACACGGGGTGGGGACAGTGCCATGGAGATGGGGACACGGGTGGGGATGGAGGTGTGGGATGGGGACAGGGACGCGGGGAGGAGCAGGATCACGGGGCGGGGATGGCGTGGGCTGGAGCAGGGACACGCACACTGCTGGCAGGTGACGGTGGCACCTCAGCCCAGGCCCCGGTGACGTCGCAGAGGAGCCAGCTGCCCGGCAGTGGCCTCGGAGCCCCTTCCTGCTGTCCCCGGGGTGGCACCTCAGCTGGCACCAGCCCTGGAGCTGCCCCAGGGATCCCGGAGTGCCACCAGCGGGGGATCCCCACAGAGACCCTCAGGGACAGCCCTGCCACTGGGACCCCGAGCTGGGGACATCGCCATGGACTGGCCACAGAGCCACGGGGACAGTGACACCCACAGAGCCACCGGCTGCCCACAGGGACAGTGACCACCCACAGGGCCACTGCTCAGCCATGGAGCTTCAGGCGTGTCCTGTCACCGGCCTGGGACACGGCTCAGACACCCGGAATGCGGGCACTGCCACCCCCAGTGCCACCGAGGACAGGGGCCATGTCCCTGCAGAGCTGGGGGACAGAGACCTGGCAGCGACGGTGACACCGAGCACCGGCCCCTGAGGTGACACCAAGAAACAGCCCCTGAGGTGACACCGAGCACCAGCTCCTCTGGTGACAGCGACCACCGGCTCCTGCAGTGACACCGAGCATGGCTCCACTGGTGACACCGAGAACTGGCCCCACTGGTGACACTGAGCAATGGCCCCTGAGGTGACACCGAGCACGGCTCCTCTGGTGGCCTCCTGCCACCCCCGGGTGCTCTGGTGGCTGAGGGACAGAGCATGGGGACACCCAGGATGTGCTGGTAGGAGTTGGTGGCACTGCTCTGTCCCTGCCACCATCGCTCTGTGCCATGTTAATGTCACTCTGTGCCATGTCCCCAGTGTCTGTTCTGTGTCCCCATCACTGTGTCACATCAGCATTGCTCTGTGCCGTGTCACCTCACTCTGTGCCATGTCACCATTGCTGTGTGCCATGTCCCCACGGGTCTGTGCCACATCCATGTCACTCTGTGCCGTGTCACCTCACTCTGTGCCATGTCCCCACGGGTTCTGTCATGTCCCTGTCCCTCTGTGCCACATCCCTGCCATTCTGTGCCATCCGCATCACAGCCACATCTCCTCCATGTTGTCCCATGTCCCCACAGGTCTGTGCCACATCCATGTCCCTCTGTGCCATGTCCCTGTCCCTCTGTGCCACACCAATGTCACTCTGTGCCACGTCCCTGCCATTCTGTGCCACATCCCTGTCCCTCTGTGCCACGTCCCTGTCCCTCTGTGCCCCGTCCCTGCCATTCTGTGCCACATCCCTGTCCCTCTGTGCCATACTCATGCCCCTCTGTGCCACGTCCCTGTCCCTCTGTGCCCCGTCCCTGCCATTCTGTGCCACATCCCTGTCCCTCTGTGCCATACTCATGCCCCTCTGTGCCACGTCCCTGTCCCTCTGTGCCCCGTCCCTGCCATTCTGTGCCACATCCCTGTCCCTCTGTGCCATACTCATGCCCCTCTGTGCCACGTCCCTGTCCCTCTGTGCCCCGTCCCTGCCATTCTGTGCCACATCCCTGTCCCTCTGTGCCATACTCATGTCCCTCTGTGCCACGTCCCTGTCCCTCTGTGCCACACCAATGTCACTCTGTGCCACGTCACCTCACTCTGTGCCAAGTCCTCATGGGTCTGTGCCATGTCCCCATGGGTCTGTGCCACATCCATGTCCCTCTGTGCCACACTCATGTCACTCTGTGCCACGTCCCTGCCATTCTGTGCCATCCCCATCTCCTCCATGCTGTCCCGTGTCCCCACGTGGGCTGTGCCACATCCCCATCACTGGGTGCCGTGTCCCTGTCCCCCCGTGCCACCTCCCTGTCCCTCTGTCACCCCCATCCCTGTGTGCCACGTCCCCAGCACCCCGTGGCAGGTCCCTGTCCCTCTGTGCCACCTCTCACGGTGCCAGTGCCGTAGCACGCGTGGCAGCTGGCACACGGGGGGTGGCACGCAGGGGCGGCAGTGTCCCCTGTCCCCCGGCACAGGGGACAGCCTGGGGCTGGCAGGGGCCTCGGGGCGCGGGGCCGTGTCCCCTCATCGTCCCTGCTTGTCGCTGCTTGTCACCGCGGGGCCACGTCGCTGTCCCTCTCGGGTCTTTTTGCGGTCTGGGCTTGCTGTCCCTCCCAGCCAGGAAGCCCTTACCCCAAAAAGCATCCGCGGGGGGCCGAGCCAGCCGGACCCAGGTGAGTGGGGGGCTCCGAGCCCCCCGGGGCCGTGGGGACAGTGGGGACAGCGAGGGGACAGCGGGGGGACAGCGAGGGGACAGCGGGGACAGCGGCGCGGGGGGACAGCAGAAACGGGGCCACCAGGCCACCACAGCTCCTGGCATGGCCGGGGACCTGCGGGGGGCGACACTGGGGACACCCGAGTGCTGGGGGAGGTGACACCGGGAGGGGCACAGCAGGTCCCCAGAGCCCCCAGTTTGGGTCCCCATCGCTCCCAGTTTGGGTCCTCAGCGCTGCCCGCGGGCGGGGCCGAGGGGCTCCCGGTGGCCCTGCCACCCCCTGGTGGCACTCGGTAGGGGACAGAGATGGGGACATGAGTGACAGTGGGGACAGGGCTCTGGGACGAGGTTTGGGGACACAAGGGACGCTGGCAGAGAGGGAGCGGGACACGAGGGATGCCAGGTGGGAGGGGACACGACGTGACGTCACCCAGGTCACCGCGCTGGCTGCGGGGCACTCGGCGTGTCCCCAGCGTCCCGGCCCTGCCAGCGCCTGCCGGGCACTGGTGTCACCGGTGTCACCGCCGGCCTTCCCGGAAGAGCCGCCACAGTGTTTGCCCAGTGTCACCACCGTGGTGGCACCAGCTGCGGTGTCACTAGCGCGGTGACAGCCCCGCCTGGGGACCCCCGCGGCCACACAGCCTGGGGACACCCCGGGCGGGGGTGACAGGGCCAGGTGGCGGGGACAGGGACAGCTCTGCTCCCCCAGTGACAGTGGGGGGGTGCCCCCCACCCGTGTCACCCTGGCGGTGTCCCCGGCGGGGGGGACGCGGCTCTGGGGGCTCCCGGGGACACCTGGGACCCCATAGGACGCCGGCGCTGTCCCTGCCCTGTCCCCATCCCGAGTGTGGGAGTGCCACGCGCGGGGACACGCGGGGACACGGGGGGACACGGGGGGGGACATGAAGGATGCGGGGACAGAGCGATGGAGCCACTGCCGGCACCGACGGGACCCGCGGGGCACCAGGTGAGCCCGACCCCCGAACCCCCCCGAGGGACACCCCGACCCCCAAACCCCAAAAGGGACACCCCGACCCCCTCCAAAGGTACACCCCGACCCCCCAGGGACACCCCGCTCAGGGACATCCCGGCCCCTCCCTGGGACCCCCACCCTGGGATGTCCCCCCGGTCCCCTCACCCCGGGGGTCCCAGCGGGTGCAGCCCCGGGGGTCCCCAGTGTCCCCCCCTCCCCACAGGACCTGCGTGTTCGCTGTCCCGGGCCCTCCCGGGGGGTCTGGGCACCCCCTTCTCCCTGTCATTGTCCCCCCGGCCCCTGCTGTCCCCGGGGTGGTGGCAGTGCCACCAGCCGTGTCCCCCGGCCCCGCGGGGACACCGGGGGTGACCCAAGGGACCGCGGGCCGTCCCTGTCCCGGCCGGTGGGCTGGTGGCACTGGGGGCCCGGCGGGGTCCCCGTGTCCCCCCCTCACCCGGCACCGTCTCGTTCCAGGCTCAGCGAGGGCGTGCGAGGCTCCGGTGAGTGGCACTGTCCCCACGTCCCCTCGGCTTCCCCTGTCCCCGTGTCACCAGCACAGCCCCGTGTTCCCGCATCCCTGTGTCCCCCCACTCCCAGTGCCTGTGTCACCCGTGTCCCCCCGTCCCTGTGTCCCCCTGTCCCCTCCAGCCGCGTGTGCCCCGTCCCTGTGTCACCCGTGTCCCCGTTCCCCCCTCCCCAAGCCGTGGGTGACGAGGTCACCCCAGTGTCCATCCCGCACCCACCGAGCGCGGGGGGGTACCCAGCGAGGTGACACAACCTTGGGGACACAACGCCCACCCTGACCCTCCCCCCGCTCCAAGCAGCGTCCCCTGGCCACCCCGTCCCTGTCTCCGTCCCTGTCCCTGTCCCCGTCCCATCCCTGTCCCTGTCCCTGTCCCTGTCCCTGTCCCTGTCCCTCTGTCCCAGTCCCTCTGTCCCTATCCCTGTCCCCGTCCCTGTCCCTCTGTCCCTCTGTCCCTGTCCCCGTCCCTGTCCCCGCGTGGTCACGGCCGGGCCGCGGTGGCCCCGGTGACAGGAGCCAAAGGGCTCCGGGAAGGCGTCAGGGACACAGCGCGAGCGGCACGTGCCGCGGGGACACGGTGGCACCGGGGCGCGGTGCCGAGGGCTGCGGGGTCCCCGTGCCACCGGCGCCGCTTCCCGCGCGTCCCCGCTGGGTCCCGGTGACACCCCCGGGGGTGACAGCCGTGTCCCCGCTGGGTCCCGGTGACACCCCCGGGGGTCACAGCCGTGTCCCCGCTGGTCGCGGTGACATGCCCGGCGGTGACAGCCGTGTCCCCAGGGCCGGCGGGATGCGGTGCGGCGGCGTGTCGCTGTGGGCGCTGCTGTGCCTGGCGGTGGCCGTGGGCGGGGGTCGCCCCGTGCGGCTCGAGAGGGTCCGGGCGGACGCGCGGGCCCTGACCCGGACCCTCAGCACGCGGCTGCAGCAGCTGCAGGTGACCCTGGGGACACTGCGGGGGCTGAGCTGTGACACGGCTGTGACACCCGGGGGGGCTGGGGGACACCCACACTGCGGGACACCCACACTGGGGGGGATCCTGTTCCCCAAAGTGGGCTGGGGTCCCCTGGGGGGTCTCCCATGGGGGGGTCCCCAGGAAGGGGCGCCTGGGGCTGGGTGGGTGTGGGGGCTCTGGCCCCAAATCGGGCATGTCCAGGGATGGGGTCTGGGGGAGATTTGGGGTCTGCAGCCCCAGGGATGGGTCTGGGAGAGATTTGGGGGGCTGCACCCCCAGGGATGGGTCTGGGGGAGATTTGGGGTCTGCAGCCCCAGGGATGGGTCTGGGGGAGATTTGGGGTCTGCAGCCCCAGGGATGGGTCTGGGGGAGATTTGAGGTCTGCAGCCCCAGGGATGGGTCTGGGGGAGATTTGGGGGGCTGCACCCCCAGGGATGGGTCTGGGGGAGATTTGGGGTCTGCAGCCCCAGGGATGGGGTCTGGGCTCTGTTCCCCGAGGGTTGGGGGTCCCCAGGGAGGGGCAGCCATAGCTGGGCGGTCTCTGTGCCCCACACTGGGGTCCCCAGGGGTGTCCCCGAGGCTGGCCGGGTGTCCCCCCCAGCCCTGACCCCGTGTCTGTGTCCCCCAGCTGTTCCCGCTGACCCTGCGCATCACGGGCCTGGAGGGGGTCCCGGAGGGGGGGGTCCCGGAGGGGGGGGTCGCGCCGGGGCTGGGCTGGGCTGCCCAGCGCCTGCAGCTCTTCCAGCGGCTCCTGGCGGCCCTGCCCGGGCCCGACCTGCGCCTGGCGCAGGTGGCCAACGACCTGGAGAACCTGCGCAGCCTGCTGGCCGCGCTGGGGGCCCTGCTGGGCTGCCCCCCGCCCCGCGAGCCGCCCCCCGC